ATATTCGATCTCGTTAAACTTTTATTGATTTTTTTAATTAAATAAATGGCGTAAATAATTCAAAATTGTTATTTTAAAAAACTATTTTCGCTATGTCTAACACATATTTTACATTCTGGTGCTCATTGAAAGGAGATTGCTGAAGTCAAACGTTGGCTTACTGCAGTGGCTTACCGAGTCTCGTAGAACTTATGTGGTAGTAGTCTTTTGCACATATGATGCCATGGATTTATATATCCATGTAAAATACTTTAAATAAATCAACAGAGTCATTAGTTCAATTTTTGTTTCCTAGAATGCGGCGCTCATAATAGTGTTTAAAGCTGGTAATTTGTCACTGGATTCGTTGAGTATCTTCCGAACATGAAAATGTAAAACTTGTAGATGAAATTCCGACAATTTTTATTCATATCACCTTGAACCTTGCGAATAGTTATTATTATTACATATTGCTGAACCTCCAATATTGTTCGATTTCAGTTTTTTAAATATGGCACTCATAAAGTGTATAGAGATTAAACTAATTAAAAAGGTTATAGAGCTGGTAGTTTGTCACTAGATTCATATTATATTCGATCTTTTGAACATGAAAATGAAAAATTCAGTAATGGATATCTCATTGATTTTGATACATAGTATCTTGAATCGTCCGAATAGCTATAATATTTACGTGTATGTATGACCAAGCAAACTTGACGAATATTTAAAAACATGCTTGCAATCTACCGAATATTTTAAAATATTTCAAAATTAAATCAGCCGTACGGTCGGCTTACTGCCATTTAGGATAACTTGTGCACATTGTTAAATTCATTTTTGAGAGATTTTTTTTGTTGAAAGAGAAATTCTTCGAATTCGCCGTTTCTTTGTTCGTTTTTTAAAATTTAGTTCTCATTTGAGGTAGAATTTAGAATTGTTTTTGGAAATTAATTGTGTTGCATTTACATTGAAAGAGGGTATTGCAATAAATAAATTTCGTTCCTTTTCAATCATTTCTGTGGAAAAAAGCTGTTAGTTATTCCTTATAAATAATTATTTAATGATAATATAATTTATAATTAAATAAACATATTAATAATTTGTCGTTTTTTAATTGTAATTTATTTACTGTTATTATTATCTGTAATAAATAATAATTATTAAAATACTAAAAATAGAAAATAAAAAACAGTTGAAAATATTGCTAACTTGTAATTTGTAATAAAAAAAATAAATTATAATTTTTGCACTTGTCTAACTAAACTTCTAATTCTAAAGTCAGCAAAGGTTCTTTCAAAAAACTTTCCCTAACCCTGACAACCTTGACACTAACCAATTATTACTAAATTTAAAATTATTTTTTATTTCATAAAATAAAAACATTTCATTTACTATACTTTTTTATTTTCCAAAAATAATGGCTTCATACTGAACATTTGCTAATGTGTGCTAGCTTTTCCCAAGTTTTTTTTGCAATATAATACTATCACACAAACAAAACATCTCTACTTCTATTTTTAAATTTTTCAATTAGGATATAAAAAGAAATAAATAGATAGTTGTTAAAGTCATGTCCCCAACACTGGCTAACCGTAAAATGCCCACAAAAACCAACAAGCAGCAAAGATTTGAACATGTCTACAGCCATACATTCACTCCAAGAACATTTCTAGTTGGTTCTTAAATTTGAATTTTTTTGTTAATGTAATATATATATATTATTATTATATTTGATTTAATTTTAGACATATCTTTTTAAATGTAATACACAGTATATATATTATTATTATTATATTTGATTTAATTTTAGACATATCATTTAAATCAACTTATTCATGATTTTTGTATAATTTTCCTTTATAAATTAGAAATAAAAGAGATAATTTTCATTACCTATATATTAAAAATAATTACTCTCCAATCAAAATTCAGGTTGAGCTATTAGACATTGCCCTCAAACAAAATGTCATAGCCTGTCTTTCAAACGATAGGGGTAAGACTTTCCTGTTTGTGTCCCTTATCAAACAACAGCTCTCCTATCATGGTTTGCAGAAACATTCGAACACCAATAAGAGTCCAGGGTACGGTGGGGCTGCTGAAAATGGCGGTGATGACGTCGACGATGTTGGTGGGAAGAAAAAGTTGTGTCTTATTATCGCTAGTTCAGGTTGAAGAATAGGAAAAAAAATAATTTTTTTTTCATTTTTTTTAATATTATAATTTTTTCATTTTTTTCATTTTTAGGTTTTTTATTTTTAAAAATAAATTTTAATATCTCAATTAAAACTATCCTCAACTTTATTCAATTCTCCACCCATGCAGATGACAATATTAGGCATATATCCACGGACATATCACTCCACTCTCAGGTTAATATATTATGTTTCTACGGAAACAACAATGACGACAACAAAAGCAACAATGCTTATACTAAAAATAGACATGATGACATCATCGATGAAAACCCCGATGTCGTCATAACCACAGCTGTGATAGCGTTGACATTGCTTCAAACGTGTCTAAAGCCAAATGATATCAATTTAGTCATTGTCGATGATTGCCATTTGGCAATAAATGATAGAATGTATGTTGAGATTATGGATATTTTGTATGTAACGTCACATCAACAACAACAACATCTTCAACTACAACAACAACAACATCAGCCACCAAGAATTTTTGCTGTGCTGACTTCGTTACTTGATAATCAGAGCTGGAATCCTAACCAGTTGGAAGGTTAGTGGATTGATGGAGTGAATGAGGGGATGATTGAGTGGATGAATTAAATCCCTGGATAGATGAATGAATGTATGCATGAACAATTGATTGAATAAATATAAGTTTCAAATCAAATGAATGAATAATCAAGTATGTAAAAAAAATCCATCCGTCCATTCCTCCATCCATCCAACTTAGATTTAGTACTGAGAATGGAGTCTATATATAGGGCAGGGGTTGAGGTGGCCCCCGAGCTGGTGCCCATCTGCGGACTATCCGACGGTCTAAAGAGGTTGCAGCAACAAAAACAACTGCAGCAACAAGTCGCTTCTAACAGCAGCTACAGCAGCAGTAACAACATCAACAGCAGCAATAGGAATGAAATGTTGCATGACTCGTGCAACAACAGTAGCAACAGCAACAACAACATCATCATTGATCTTTGTAATGTGGAAAAACCCAGAGAACTAATAATACACTGCAGGGAATACCGGGATCAAAGTGGATTGATGGATAGATTGGTGAAAGAATTAACGGATGTTATTGAGTTTGTGGAAGGGTTTCAAGGTGAGTGCACCAAAAGGAATGAAAATGCTTCTCAAAAAGATGGTGGTGTTGATGCTGACGGGAACGTCCAAGAAATTGCTAAGACTACCCATGACAACGTTAAAACCATTGGTGGTTGTTTCAAATTTGATAACATCAATTGTGACAGTAATAATATAGACAGCAGCGGTAATGACAATAAGGATTGTAACGGTATCAATTTGAGTTCTGACAATTTAACATCAGCAACAACATCAACTACTGCTGCTACTGCTGCTGCTACTGCTATTACTACAACATCGTCATCGTCACAGCAACACAACAACAATATGACCACTTCATCATCTTCGTCGTCATCTTCAAAAAATCCTGATCAATTCAAGAGTGCCAAGCTGGCCTTGAATGAATGCCTCTACATCCTAAAAGAACTGGGACCATGGTGTGCCTCGCGAGTTGCCTACGCTTTCGTTAAACAACTTTCAAAAATAGAAGACTGCGAAAGTGACAAGGTAACAAAGTTGTATTTGCAGATGGCCTCAACTACCCTCAGATGCGTGTATAAAGTTGTGGAGGATTACTTTGACAGTAAAGTGTGTATTTGTGTGTTTGTTTGTATGTGTGTGTATGTGTTGTTTGTTTGTTTGTGTGTATGTATGTGTTGTTTGTTTGTTTGAGTGTTTTTTTGGTTATGTGTGTTAGTTGTTTTATTTATTAATTTGCGGTAATTGATAGCTAAAATTTGATTATACTATATTTCAATTGTCATCATCGTCACCCTCATCATCACCATCGCTATTGTCATCGTCATCCCAGATCCACAAATTGGAAGAGTTTCTGACGTTGGTGAGCCAGAAGGTCATCCACCTATTGGACGTCCTTCACCTTTACAAGCCAGACGACAACTTCACCATCGTTCCCGGAAATTACGAAGACGACGCCACCAACCTTCCCAGCGATGACGACAACAACAACAATAAAAATAATAACAGAAATAGCGCTGGTGGTGATGATGATAATGGCAAGAGTAATGATAATGATGGTAATGGGGAGGATGATGATGACGACGACGGAGTTATAAATCACGAGGCCTGGTCAAAAAGTGGGAAGTCTCAGGCCACTGTCGGCTGTGTGGTGGTTAAGAAAGAGAATGGATGTATTGTAAGTTTGGTTGGTTAGATGGATAGTTGGTTGGATGGATGGTTGGTTGGATGATTGGTTGGTTGGTTGAATGGATGGATGGTTGATTGGTTGGTTGGCTGGTGGGTTGGTTGATTGATTATTATATTGATGAACTGAATGCCCACATGATTGTGTAAATTGACAAATTCATTCAACCAATCAATAATTGAATAAATCTATCAATCAACATTAACTCCTCTCTTAAAAATTTTAACCAATGAGCAGACAGCAGTGCAGGAAGAGGAGGGGTTATGGGGCTTGATTTTCGTAGATCGAAAGCACGTGGCCTTTGCCCTGAATAAATTAATCGTCGAATTATGCAATTGGGACGTTGACTTATATTTTGTTAGGAGCCACTACATTGCTGTGGCCGGTGGTGATCATGGTAGTAGTGGTAGTGCTGCTGCTACTACTCAGAATTCCTGTGACGATGTGAGTATGCGAGTGAGTGGTAGTGGTGGTGTTTTTGTCGATGATGTTAATAATTTTTTCTATTTCTTCGTAAAAAAAATTTCAAATATTAAAAACAACCCCCCCTCCCTCTACCCCATCAGAGAAAGAGGGCCGCCCAGTATAACCCCCACCCCGCGAAATCCACCCCGTCATGTTTTCCAGCACCGTCATTTCCGCCGTTAACAGCGCCACCACCATCATTTTTTCCAACGTCAAACATGACGTCGAGTGAATTTCAGAAGCACGAGGAGGTCTTAAGGAAGTTTAGGCAGCAAGAGTTGAATCTTCTGGTGACTACGAATGCCCTGCAGACGGGCATCGATCTACCCAAGTGCAATCTAGTCGTTCGGTTTAGTCCGGCTTCTAGCTACAAATCTTATGTCCAGTCTAAGGTTTGTTGGTCGGTTGGTTGGTCTATTGGTTGGTTGGTTGGTCTATTGGTTAGTTGGTTAGTTAGTGGATTTGTTGATTGATTGGTCGGTCGGTTTGTTGGTTGGTTGGATGAATGGTTGGATAGTTGGATGGTTAGTTGTTAAATGATTAACTTAATGGCCGTATTGCATCTGCATTAGTTAATATCAATTAATTGGCTAATTAGCCTACGCCTTATTATAAATTATTACAATATTTCAAATAAATCGGCATAAATTATTAAAATGTTTTAAATAAATTAGCATAAATTATGATAATGTTTAGGCCAGAGCGAGGTCGAACATAGCGAAGTTTGTTCATCTGGTTGACAGCCATTTGAAGGATCAATTCGGGAGTGATATAAAAATGTATAAGGGAGTCGAAAAGGTTGTGATGATGATGATGATGGTTGTGGTGATGATGATGGTTGTGATGATGATAATGATAACGATGATTGGGATGATGATGATGGTTGTGATGATGATGATGATGATTGTGAAAGTTGTGATGATGATGATCTAACTACAAACCACGTAAAGATACTGTATCATCGCTGCCGGCATTATAGACACAACATCAACCGGCACATTCCTAATCGTGACGTCATCAGCGCCAAGTTCCCGCCTTACATAGCCCCCAACTGCCTAACTTTGCCTCATCCGCCTAAGGTTACGGTACTGACGGCCATCAAGTTGGTGAATAAGTAAGTAAGACGGTATTGTTATTTTCGTTAACGTGAATGAGGGTTTCTTTTCTTTTTGTTTGTTTTTAATTTTAATGGCGTATCTTTCGCTTTTGGTCTATATTGTTTTAATGCTTGGTTGATTGGTTAATATTTTTAGCTGTCAATCAATCAGTCATCCAATCAATCAACTAACCAATCAACCAGCCAATTAACTAACCAACCAATTAATCAATCAACCAACCAATCAAAAGTTCAACTAATCAACCAACCAATCAAACGTTCAACCAATCAACCAACCAATCAAACGTTCAACTAATCAACCAATCTACCAACCAACCGATCAGATATTGCGCCAGACTGCCAAGCGACAATTTTACTCATTTGACGCCAAAATGTGAGATCACCGAACATTATTACGACAAAAATGGTCGATGCATCGACGGGGAAGATGATAATGATGACAACAACAACAATAATAATAATAATAATAATGCAAAAGATAAAAGTGCTGCTAACAGCAGCAGATGTAAAACAAAGAGTAGAAATAAAAATGCAAGAAATAAAAAAAATACTAGTACATCTACCAATGCTGCTGCTACTACTACTACTAATAATAATAATAATAATAATAATGTTGGTAGAGTTAAAATGTATAAGGCCCGACTCAAACTTCCTATAAATTCGTCTGTAAAGCAGACAGTTGAGGTTGGATGGATTTATCTATGAGTATTTAATAACTCGCTCGTCATCATCATTGTCATCATCATCATGGCCATCCTCATCATCATCTCAACCTATCCAGGGCCCGCCAATGCCAGACGAGCAGCAGGCCAAAATGGCGGTTGCATTGGAGATGTGTAAAGTTCTCCACCAATCAGAAGAATTGGATGATAATCTCCAGCCAATAGGAAAAGAGATCTTGCCACTGAAGAGAAGTAGAGATAGTGATGAGGACGATGATGATGGCGGTTATGAGTGGGGAAATTCTGAAGGCCAAGGACAAATTGTAAGAATAAATTATGTAGCGAGTGTTTATTCATCCATCCATTCATTGTTTTCCCCATCTGTAATACATCTGTCCATCATTTATTCATTCGTTTATCCATCAGCCTTTCATACTTTTCCTTTTCACTGACTCGTTCTGTCATTCATTCATTCGTCTGCCCATTTGTTCTTTGCTCCATCAATTCATTAAATTACTAATTCATCTAACTTTCATTCGCTCATTCACTCACCCATTTCATCGCTCGCTCACTTAGGCGAGGCCAGGCTCAACAAAACGCAAGCAGCACTATCGCAAACGTGTGGCCAGGGCCCTTCTGGGCTCGGTTCGGCCCAATGCGCCCTGCCACCTCTACGCCTTCAACATGACCTTGACCGGACCGATTTCAGAGGAGCAGAACACGAGAGGCAGGATCATACACGCTCCCGAAGACACCAGCAAGGGATTTGGAGTTCTTGTTCCTAGGTCCTTGCCCAAGGTTGGTTGGCTGGCTGGCTGGCTGGTTGGTCGGACGATTGATTGGCTGATCGATTGATTCATTTGTTTGATGAATGGTCGGTTTACTTTGTCAGTCTGATTGATGGGTTGATGATGATCCATTCATTCAGTCTTTGTTTGAATCATCCTTCACGTAGATACCCCACTTTCCAGTGTTTACGAGGTCAGGAGAGGTCACTGTGTCAGTTGACCCCATGACCCCATCTAACCTACATTCCGACCTTCATTTCGATTCTGACCAGTTGAAGAGGCTTTATGCTTTTCATAAATTTTTATTCTCAGATGTTAGTATTACATTCGTCTTTGCTGATACCAATTAGTTGGCTACTTAGTATTCATAAATTGACCCAAATGCGTATTTTGGTGCACAATTATTATTTGTTACCTATTTATATATTTAATAATTTACCATTAGGTATTAAAGTTGGAAAAATGCCCCATGATCTTTGACCCAGAGAGAGCGAAATCATGCTGCATTGTGGTGCCCATCGATAGAGGTGACTGCTCTCTTTTTCTCATAATCAGCATAATTTATTCGTAAATTAGCATAACTACCTCACATTTACATAAATTTCCACTTAAACAGCAGCCGATTCTGGTAATGAATATTCAGTGGATTGGCATTTTATAGCGAAAGTTGAAACCTACCCAGCGCCGAACTTCAACAAATTCAAACCGACCTACAACTACAAGCCTCTTAAGACTAATACTCCCGGGAAATCTCAAGCTAAAAATAGCTTTGGTGTGGAAAATCCCAAAATTGCTGCTGCCAAAAATGAAAGTACTCCTTCTAGTACTGCTATTACTACTACTGTTACTCCTGCTAATGCAACTTTTACTGCTGCTGCTACCAATGCTAATACTAATACAAATGCTTCTTCTACAAATACTGCTGCTACTACTACTGCAGTTTCAACCAACATTACTGATTCTGATATTCCTACTACTGCTTATGTAAATGGCATTATCGTTAATCAAAATTCTACTACTACTGCTACTACTACTACGACTACTACTACGACTACTGTTACTGATCCAATTAATAATAATGCAAATAGTAATACTACTACTAATGTTGATGATGATGATAAGGAAGGTGAGAGAGTGATGAGGAATGGGTGGGGCGAGATAGTGAGTGAGAGAAACTGCAAAGTGCCGAAAAGATGGGGAGGATGTGATGATAATGATCTTCGTAGTGATGGTGGTGCTGGTGATGATAATGATCACAATGGTGGTGTTGGTAATGATCATCGTCGCTGTGGGGATGATAATGGTGATGGAGGCCACTCAGATGAACACCATCTCGCTAAACAACAATCTGATCATTTAGTCAAACAACAAGATGCTGGACGGCTAAATGCTCAGCAGCAGCTACAAGAACAACAGCAAAATTTCAAATTTAGGGTCGAAGATTTCATAGATGCTGTAGTTACTCCATCTTATAGGAATGTCGACCAGCCACAATATTTCTATGTGGCTGAAATAAGGTTCATTCATTCATTGCTTTTAAAAAACATTAAATTTTTCCAATTTTGAAAATCTTTTCAATTCATTGTCAACACCGGCTTAACAAATAACCCCAACCCTGACCCCATTACAGACGTGACCTCTCCCTGACCAGCCCCTTTCCCTCCCCCGAACTCTACGAGACCTTCCGCCACTACTACTCCACCAAGTACAACCTCCACCTCACTGACCACACGCAGCCACTTCTCGACGTCGACCACACCAGCGCCCGTCTCAACCTTCTCACACCGAGATACGTCAATCAAAAAGGTGTCCCCCTGCCGACTACAAGCGCTGAAAATCGTCGCGCGAAGCGCGAGTCGCTACAGCAGAAGCAGATTCTAGTTCCGGAGTTGTGCTACATCCATCCATTTCCCGCCAGTCTCTGGCGGAAGGCCGTCTGCGTCCCGACCATTTTGTATAGGGTGAACTATTTGCTACTGGCGCAAGAACTACTTGAAAGGATTGCAAAGGAGGCTGGTGTGTATGCGTGTGTACGTGTGTGTGTGTGTGTACGTGTGTGTGTATGTATGTGTGTGTAATAAAATTGTTGCCATTCATCATTATTGTCATCATTTATATTATCATCACTATGATCTAGGACCATTACAAACCAGCCGATCACACCAATCAAACCAAACAATCACATCGATCATTTACAAATCAACCAATCACATCAACCAACCGCAAACCAACCAATCATTCATAACCCGACCAATCACAAACAAGGTCTATCCTTCAAGAAGAATGGAAATTCTCAAGCTCTGCAGTTTCGTTTTGCAAAAGATGGCGAGGCTTCATCAACGTTCTGTGGCGGTTGTGGTTTCGGAGATGACGACGACAACAATGATGATGATGCTGCTGCTGCTACTACTACCACTGCTACTACTAACACTGCTTTTACTTCCATGTATGGTCCTGGAGCTTGCGACGTCATACAAACACTGACCATGTCCAACGCTAATGACTTTTTTAACCTGGAACGATTAGAAACTATTGGTTGGTTGGTTGGCCGGTTGGATAGTTGATTGGTTTGGTTGGCCGGTTGGTTGATTGGTTGGCTGGTTGATTGATTGATTGATTGGTTGCACGTAACAACAGGCGACTCGTTCCTCAAGTTTGCCATCACGGCCTACCTGTACTGCACCTACTCGGGCATCCATGAAGGAAAGTTGAGTTATCTCAGGAGTATGCAGGTCATTATCATTACCATCTTCCTCATCATCATCTCTGTAACTCTTACATTACGTTGCATGTTGACAGGTTAGTAATTACAATCTCTACCGTCTGGGTAAACGCAAGGGACTGCCGGGACTGATGTTGGCCGCGAAATTCGAGCCTCTAGAAAACTGGCTACCACCCTGTTACGTCCTAAAGAGGGCCGACCCTAAAAGCTATATTTGGAACTGGAAAGAACAGGACGGGATTTCCCAGAGTGATAAAAATAGAACCGATGATGATGATGATGGTGTCGATGATGTTTGTGGTGGCGTTGGCAAACGTGGTGATGATAATGATGAAGACGAAGAGGAAGAAGAGGATGATGAGGATGAAGCTGATTTCTTTTTCATTAATAATGTCTCCGATAAAGATGATGATGACGAAGATGAAGATGCCTATGATGATGATGATGATGATGATGGTGGTGATGATTTTGGAGGTAAGACAACATCAGCAGCCGCTGCAGTAGCGTCAACAACTACTCCAACAACATCAACATCGATGGCTACATTAACGAAATCTATACAGGCGGAAACATTTGAAACCGAGCTAAATAAATTCATCAAAAAACCAAAAATAACACCACCATCGTCGTCAACGACCTCAAAAACAACAACCAAGACATCAACAACATCGGTTCCCATGGCATCAACAACATTAGCAACAATGCAATCAACCAAACAACACCACCAACAACAAAACGTTGATGCCAACAACAACAGTAACACCAAGTCTAGTAAAAGGAAGAAAAAGAAGAAAGTCACTTTCAACGACAACAACACAGACACAATCAAATCCGACAACAACCAGAACGACGATGACGTCCACAAAAGCAAAGATGATATAAACCTTGCCACCACAAGCAACAACATTAACATGACTACCGCCACCAACAGCTGCAAAAACGCCGCCGCCAACAACAACAACACGACGACGACCACAACCAGCAGCAACAACAACAACCTTTTAATCCCATACAACCTGCAAACACAACATAGCCTACCAGACAAGAGTATTGCAGACTGTATCGAGGCTCTCATAGGATGCTATCTTGCGTGCTCCGGTCAAAACTCTGCCCTAAAACTCATGCTCTGGATGGGGTTAAAGGTCAAATACGTAATATAATTTTCATTTTGTCGGAAAATTTTGCCTATATACTGTTACTTGTGTGTATATTTGTGGCGTTTACATGTCAGAGTTAAGTGTATTATTATATTGATACTACTACTACATTTTATTTACTTTTGAAACCATTCCACCATTATACTCAAATCTGAAGGTTTTGCCAGTAAGCAGTAGTAACGACCGCAGCGGCGACCACAGCAGCGATCACAGCAACGACCACAGCGGCAGCAGCAAAGATAATTTCTCGAACAACGCCAACTTTTTAACATCCCCGCCATCACCATTGTTACGTCACGTAACTGAACCTGAATTACACCTCGAAATG